GTTGTAGGCGGGTGTGGGAAGCGTTCCCCGTTCTCCTTTTATTTTATTTTGATCGGTCTCCTCGACGCTCTTTCTCGTTTGGTGCGGTAGCTGGTCTTTCTTTCTATCATTTTGTTTCTCTTCCGAGTGGTTTTTGTACCCTATTTTTTTCTGTTTCTTCGTGGGGTCGTGTATGCCGGGTTTTGAGACCACGGGCTCCCAATCTCTTTTTTTTTTAGAGCTAATGTGAGAAACAACAACAACAATGTCATTCCATGTGTCGCGTCACACGTCAATCATATCATGCCATACTTTGCAGAAACGCGAAAACCACTCTTCGGGGAGATTAGAGACAGTTGGACAGGGGTAGAAGCCGGGGTCTAGGGTCAGAGACAAGAGGGTGAGGGTTGTCGAGACCGGGGGGCGCGGACACGTCTCGACGGGCAGCAGCAGCAGCAGCAGCAGCAGATCGGAGAAAAAAGTACCGTGCCCACCTTGAAACCTCCTCGAGAAACCAGACAGACTCCTGGCACAGCGCCCTGTTGGCAAACACCCGGAAGGCTTCCGCCATGGCGTTGTCCAGGGCGATCTTGTCGTAGGTCCACATGTGCTGGGCGGCTTCCTCGCTCGGGGTGATCTTCCGCTGTTGGCTCGAGGAGCTCCCTCGCCTGATTGACCGGCAAACGAACAGAGAGGGAGTACGTCAGGAACGACCATATTATTACCGTACAGTGCAATCGATATTAAAATTGCCGTACAGCAGTGCACTACCTCACGTACTGAACCAAACTCACTCGAGTGTTCATTCGGTGCCAAGAGATTTCACCCAAACTACTCGTATCTTGTTTGCCAGGCCGAAAGAGAAGCACCGATGTTTGCACAGACAACATTCGTCGTAGACAACTCTACAGCCTCGCCTAGGCTCGGAATCATCGCTTCAGGGAGGAGGACGCAGATTCGCGTCACCCAAGATGCCGGTACCTGGGCTTCTGTGTCTTGGATGCCGAGCTCCTCAGAACAGCGCGAGTCATGGGAGCCGAGCTCTGGGCCATGGGGCTGAACTTGAGACGGCGGACTGGATCGATGACGCTGCGACCAAAGCGTGCAACGAACGTGTGGAGCGTCAGAAACAGAATGACTTCCTTGGACTCGCAGAATAAAAAAAAAGAAAACGATTCTACCGTGAGCGAGTAGACAAGGTAGAGCAAGCAGCTTTCCACGGCCCTGTCCGTGTCCTTGCCCTCTCCGTGTGGCGGGGAACGCCATTCGAGCGGGAGAGCGAGTTGGTGAGCAGATCGATCGTCACGCAGGTGCTGTTCAGCGACCTCCTTTTCCGTCGGTTGCGATCAACCACAGGCATATCCATACGCACGTACACACCTGAGTCCGAACAACACTGAGATTGTCAAGAGCTGCATGTTTGGCGGGTTGATGAAGTTCCTGATTTCTCCCGTCAGCTCTTCTTCGATGAAAAGCTTGACGAACACTGCCAAAGAAAAAAAAAGGGAACGTTGCAGGACAGGTGGAGCAGGAAGACAAGACCCGGCAAGTCGAGGAAGAAACTGCTTGTGCACCAAATGGGGGACGCCTCCGAGAGAGTTGAGGGATGTGACATGGCGACATTCGGTTGTTCTTGACAGCAACGAGCTGAGCATGACAGTCGCTGCATGCAGCAGGTGGAGGTGGCTGGCAGGGACAGTGTTGTCGGCGGTATGTTCACAGCATTTCCAACATCGCCGCACGAAGAGTGAAATGAGTGGCAGATCTGACGCAGGCTGAGGCAAGTTTAGGGATGTACGAAGGTCAATTTTTCACATCACTTGTCTGGTGTTTGAAACCACAGCAGTGGGTTGTGCGCGCTTTTATTCTCATTTGTTGTATTTTCATTTTTGGGGGGGTGCCCTTCTCCCTGCGGTGTTCACCGCAAACTGCAAAGCTGGCCTAATTGCAAAAGGCTGAGACACCCAACCACACGCTGCCTTGGGCAGGGGCTGCTGCCTTTGTGAAGCAACCAATGGGCTGACGCCCAGATATGTCGCATTTGCACGTTCCTCGAACCGCCGCACGATATGTACAGGCAGCAGTTCAGGGCTGCCAAGCTCACTGTGCATAGATAGAAGAAGACACACACATGCAGGCACAAGCCACACCACGCTCGCACCCCCCTGCGTGGCACCTATGTTTCGCTAACTCAGGGCACACAGCGACGCATCAGCTGTGCCTTACCGCTCTGGATGAGGCCCAGGACGATGATCACCATGAGCTCCCGGCTGATGTGAAACAGGTCATCGATGTACCTGCAGGTAACACAACCCGAAAGGACGAAGAACATACCGCGGGAGAGACCGTAGCGAACGAGAGAGGGAGAGAGAGAGAGAGAAGGAGGGAGAGAGAGAGCGAGAGAGAGTTACAGACAGAGACAGAGATACAGAAATACATAGGCAGATCGGCAAAAAGGACAAGAAAGACAGGTCACAGAAACTTGCGGACGACCAAACATTGGGGGCTGCCGTAACACCCGGCGGGAAACGGCGCTCGGTTCAGGCAAACCAGGCCAAGGAACGAGGACGCGGTGGCGGCATGAGGGCACAACGGCCGACCAAGGCAGGGGGTGTATACCTACCTCGCTTGGTGCGGTAGTGGTGGAGGGTGGTCCGGTGCAAGCTTCTTGTTCCATGCCGTCGACAGGTTAGGGTGCTTGAATCATTCCGGAAGGGTGCGGCGGGTAGACACGAATATAACCAACCGGAAAGAGGTTTCTTTTAACGTCGATACTCACCACACCACGGGGAGCAGGCAGATTTGCGTTATCTGCAGCACCAGCGTGCAAAGCCACTTCACGCCCGCCTGATGGTCGCGGTAATCCCTGTTGATCCATGGGTTGGGAGAAGCACGCCGCCGCACCGCCGCACCGCCGACCAGACACGATTTCACGAAGAGCCAGAGAGGCGACGGGATGGGAGGTGGCGGCTGGCGGTGTATCAAGTGCCACCATGAGTGACCGTAGACCTACTGCTCAAGCCGCTTGCATGCATCCATGTACAGGCGGTGGAGGTGGATCCTCACGTCCCCTGTGCACAATCCCAACGCCCGGGGTTACGCTAGGGTGCTGAGACCCCAAGCACTACGAAAAACACCCTGGATGTAACCAACACGGCAAGGTGAAGCGAGCACAACGCCGAGCTGATCGGCATACGCTGCAACATTACACGGCAGCCTGTCAAACCCCCTATTCCATCCCAGCAATCACTCAAGCTATGTCCGAAGACCCTTGACCACCGCATTTCTGTGTCTCAAAAGAGTCCTGGCCTAGACACAAGTTCGACCACGAACCAACTGCCTCGGGGGGGGTCGTCACTCACTCGTTCGGGACGGTGATCTTGTAGTAGATCGGGATGGACAGTGACATTACACCGATGGACAGGCTCACGGCGATTAGGAGCTTCTCCTGCAGAAAAAAAAAAAAAAACACACACACAGAACAAGCAGGAAACACCGAGCATCATCAGACCAGCCCACAACAAGAAGAAAAAAGGAGCGCGTGCAACAGAGGTCTTGAGGTGTTACTGCTGTAGACGATCGAGCGTGTTACTGCATCAACATAGGGTTAGCGTGCTCCAGATGCATACATGACGCTCTTGAGCACGCAAGCCGTCCCAAACACCGATGACCTCGGCTACCGCAGCTGGACAGCTTCAGGCACACGTCGTAGTTGTTGTGCCTTGACACACACCTCGCCTCCAACTCATGTACCAGGTATAGAACCACCAAGTTCAACACAAGCCTTCAAGGAGGTTCGCCCCACGCCCGACCAAACACGCGTCACTCCCCTCCTCTCTCGTCTCTCTCACCGACATGAGCTTTGGCATAGATCTCCTGAGCTTGGGATGGAACCCGACGGCAAGCCGGATGACTCTGCTGATGTAGCAGCTCGCGATAGAAAACGTGACAAAGAACACGAGCTTGAACAAACACGAGAGACCAAGAGGCAGGGGGCGGGAGGTGAAGGAGGGAATAGTGTAACTCCTATTATAGGTAATCTGGGAAGCACCATAACCACTCCAAAGAGGAAAATGGGGACGGGTCGACCATCCTATACAGCTGCAGCTCTTATCGCCAAAGGTTCTACCATTGCCAACCCAGCCCCGGGTCGTGCGCATGCATCGATTACGGCAAAACATCACCACAACAGTGCTCATCTCACCAGATTGTTCGTGAAGTAGTTAGCCGGCGTCCCGAAAAGGACAATAGCGTGGAGATCCACCGTAATCCCCTCGTACAAGAGCAGCAGCAATCCAAGGGTCGTCACGAGGTAGACAGATCTGGGCAACCGGCGGTAGAAGGGCGAGTCTGGTATTGTGTTTGGCTCTTGCTAGTCTGTCTTCGTCCTCAACAAGATCATAAGCTCTGACGTGTCCTGCTGGATGCTGGGGGTCGCTACATACATACGGTCGCCCCGGTGGTCTAGTGGGTAGCCTCGTAGCCTGCTAAGGGCCAGGTCATGGGTTCGAGTCCCGACAGAGTGAGTTTTTTCCCGCTTATTAAATCCTGGTCTCCATTGGAAGCGACGCGCTGCAAAGCTCGTTGTTAGTAAACTTGATGGACTTCATGAGTCGCGAGGGAAGGGATTGCTGTACCCTTCTCGCGATAAAAATATCGCAGGCAAGAACCGCAGGAGGGGGTCTAACCCCCCCTCCTGTTTGACCCCGGTTGGGTCTTCTAGCTGGTGGAAGTGGAAGATAGGGGCCAGAGGGGCAGACGACAGAGTCCAATGATGGGAGAAAAACAAACAAAACAAATACATACATGTCCGGGCGACAATCGTGGGGGGCAACAACAACAACTGACTGCTCCTGGTGCTGTGCAAAAAAATGCTTTCTTTCACATGACATCACCGCTCCAACCAACATGATCAGAACCCTCTTTCACCTCGCCCTGATCTCGAAGACATCACGCGCTCGGAAGAAAAGCACCAGGCAGTAAACCCCGAAGGTCATGTAGACTATGCCGAACAGCAGCTTGAACCATGAGAACCCTGTTGGGCCCACGGCAGACGTCAAACAATTCAAAGGGGACGGGGGTTGATACATGCAAAGCAGAATGTACACGTGAGGGGGGGGTGTGCGACTCCCCACGTGGGCAGCGCAAAAGAGCAGCGAAGAGAAACCGACGAAGGGGTGTGGTTCAGTTCCCGCATAGAGGTCCCAGAACTCCATGCACCGACAGCGTGCCTGGATAAGATAGATAGATATCCTATTTAGAAAGTGCAATTATCGTGAACATCTGGGAAGATAGAGCAGTACCACAAGAAGCAAAAAATTCTGGTTGGATATCTGCGTCGTGACAGGTCCAGAATTCAACCGCGTCACTGGGGAAGTGCACGGATCATCGATGAAAACTGCCGGTGACGGACGTCTGCATTCCACATGAGCCTGCTCAACAAGCGTACACGGTGGGCCGTGCAAAAGTCCTTGGCAAAACGGCATATATTCGATGGAGGGTGGAGAGGAAAACGAGTGCCGCGGGGAGAACTTTGGTTGCTAAACATTGTGCATGTTGGTATCTTGATCTTTGCTTTACCCTCTGAACGCTACGGGGCTAGCTAGCAAGCTGCAGCGCGTTGCCGCTTCACCAAGCCGCAGATTGAACACGTTTGGAAAAGATATCGCAGAACTCCCCGGGTGGGCGTTGCGCACGCATACCGGCAGGCAGGATCAGGAAGGGAGGTGATACACCAACAGCGCTTGTCTCTGTATCGTCCTGTTCGTATGATACATGCAACACATCACGATTGCATCCCCGGTCTAACGGGACGATGCCCGCGAACACCGACCATGGACCAAAAAACAGCTACGACAGCTAGAGCATGCCTTGCTTGCCTGCTCACTTCTATAGACACAACAACGACGGCCGTTCACAATAGAGGCACAGGATGCGCGAACAAGTTGCGAAACGGAGTAGGCTTATTCCCACATGACCCCCATCCCACCCAAATGCCGACCCTCATCATATGATAGCCTTGGCATCCTCGTGCGGCGACTTTCGAAATTCAGTGTCCGGTTTGTCCGCGTTGCACCGCCAAAACAACGTTTGTTCTGCTCAGCCGTTCGTTAGATATCAGTTGCTGTAGGCGGAAACATTTCGGCGACGACATCAATGAAAGTCGAAAGGTCGGCGGTGAACTTACTGTATAAGGGTGAGACCTGGCACTGCTTACCAGAGCAGATGCAAACGATCAGCAGTTTCTGGGCTATCATGACCCGAGAGACAATACATCCGCGAGGTTCACAAATTCTGTAGGCATGGCCTGCGCCACCACCCGATTTGACGAGAAGCAAGGGCTTTCACAAAAATCCAAGTCGCCCAAATTCAAGCATGCACACGGGACTCTACCTTGCACTGCAGAGGTATGAGAAGTGCAGGCGAAAGAATGCCCCGGTTCAATGAGGTGCACAAGCAGTCTTCGAGTGCAACAATGCTGAAATGACACCACGTGCATTTTCGCAGCATGCAAGTGATTTGTCAAACAAAAGTCAAACGGCTCTGAACAACAGAATCAATTGCCTCTTCTACGATGCATACAATAATAACATTGAATGTTGTCACGAGGTCTGGCACGTATGCTAGAGTAGGTACAACAAATTGTATTCTGCATGTACAGCAGTACACGTACTCTTTTTTGCCACCTTGGTGCAGGACCAGTGTATTTTCAAACCCGTGTGCCATCTGCTTCAGGCTATGCATTGCGTTGAAACCAAGGGCGGGTGGATGCACTTGTTGCTGTCGCAACTATCAATAATAGTCCATTCCAAGCGCATATTTCTGAATCGGTGGGCAAACAAGCACACCTCAGGCAATGGGAAAATACAAAATACAAATGCGGGGAGAGAACGAATACATGCTGCACACACAACACCACCTCTCCGAAAACGGCATCCATCGTAGAAGCGTGTGCATCACACATCCATCATGCCTGCAACCCGTTCTGCTTCTGCCGCACTGCACGCTGCACACCATAACCGCAGCAACAACGGGGATGTGCGTGCATTGCTGGAAAAACACATTATTGTTCCGTGACGCATCTTCACGGAGCTTCAATGCAGCAGCAAGCAACATTAAAGCGCGCCCTTTGGGTGGGATCAACTGACTGCGGCAGCGGAAGTAAGGGTATTCGTCCTGACAGCAGCCGCCATAATACCATCCCCACCTCATACATATCGTATCAGATGAAATGAAAATGGAAATGGTGTCCGCCGGTCGGAGCGCGAGGCGGGAAAAACGCAGCAGAGGGAAGAGAAAGGTCGGCCAAACCGCATGGTGCGCAGCCTGCGCCAGGGAGAGGGCAGTAGTAGCATCGAAAGGCCGGCTCGCTTCTCGATAACCCGGAGCCGGCGTTGTACAACACACCTGCTCGCCGACACCCTTCTAGCTTGGATAGCGGCAGGATTGTCTTATACTTGGACGTAGACGCGTAGACGCGTGCGTGTTTTTCTTCAAAGAAAGGAGGAATTTGTCGCCGAACGCAGACCACGAAACCAATCCGTGGGATGCTCTAGGGCTTACAGTACAGCAGGCGGAATCGTGAATCGTGCACGCGTCTACCCCGAAACTACTGCTTGTGTGTGATTCAAAACGCAGAGATCGTGTGTAGCTGCTGGTAGTAAATAACGCGCACAGCTTGCTTGCCTTCATCCGCAAACGCGGAAAGTGCATGTGGAGCGGGGGCTGGAGTGGTAGACGAAGAGGATGATTCCATAGCCGCCAGCAGCGACGCGGAGCTCGCGCACGTTAAGAGGCCAAAACAGCACCGGTCACCCAGCACGTGGTGGACAAACCAAAGCGGTCGTGCTCTGCTGCTGCGCTCCCTCCCGCTCTCGTGTGCTACTCGTACCGCCGCTTTGGGGATGAACAAAAGAGGGAACCCAACGACCGCTTGCCAGCAAATAATTTTGCCTGTTCCATCACAAATGCTTTTTATTTATTTCGTCCTACGATCTTCTTTCTACTTATTTTTATTTAAGGATGACTCTTATGGCTTGCGGAATTTGGCCACGGAACGGATTTTTTTTTTATTATTAATAATTTCATGGCATGTTCATCTTATGGGCACGGATGCGGCGGGTTTAGGGTCGAAAAAATTCGTTTGGGACATCCGGGCCGAGTCTCCAACGATAGTTGGGCATATATTTCGTATGGGAATCGGGCCCGGATGTTGCCGACGGATTGTTCGTTTTGATCCAACAAACCGAAATCGCGGGGTCACACCGCATCCATCCCGAGCGGCACCCGAGCGTGGCGTGTGTGTGCACGAGCTTTCCAGTACCCAGCACAGACTGGACCGGGTGCGCAATGGAGCACGCGAGTGCGGCCGACGACAGCGGCAGCGACGACGAACGACATGCCCACCTACTTGTTCTTCTTGCAGCAGCGAAGCGGAGACGTCGCGAGCGGCAACGCGCTGTGCTTACGGGTGTCGACCTGGCGAGTTGTCCTGCGGTCCTTCCCAGATGGCGACGAGTTGGAGGACGAAGGCCTTGGCGGTGGCTCCCCCGTGAAGCGTACCCGCCGAGTTCTTCCACGGCCAGACTACCGCGCCTCGTTTTGGTGGCGCATGCTGGGCGAGACGGGCCTCAAGGAACCAGTGTCAAGAGAGGCCAAGCTTTTTCGGAGGCGCTTCCGCATCCCATACCAGTTCTTCACCGAGCTCATGGAGCTGGTCAAGAAGAAGAAGTGGTTCCCCATGCGCAAGAAAGATGTGGCCGGGCGTATGTGCATCCCAGTCGAGCTGAAGGTGATGTATTTTTGAGACGTGCCGATTCCAACACTGGCATTCATGCATTCATCTAGAATATTTAATGCATCTTTGTGTGCACACTGAGAACAAGGACAATGTATAGTCTACGCACGCACGCACGTAGTATGCGAAAAACAGAGTAGCGCGACTGGGTGTCGGAGGAGAGCAAGGGCAACGTAAGTATGGTCTACACATAGTGCAAAGTCGTACCATAGACCGCAGGGCTTGTGCAAAAGATGAGAAAAACGTGGTGTACACCTTCAGAAGCTGCTGCAGGTAGATTGTGGTAAATTATTCTCGCCAAACCCCCCTTGTTCCATTTTCTACGTCTTGCGCCAGAGCCAATGCTGCAGGAAGATACTGCTGTGTTGCTCATGCCCCTTCCGGTTTGCCATGTTCTCGAAGTAGTCGAAAATGCAGCGCCGCGAATAACCTGACAACCGAACGATCAATTCCCGCCGACCGTACACCGCGCACGACGTCCATGCGCACAGGTCTAGTCATCCCTGCACATCTTGGGTAGGGGAAACTTCTTCGAGGACATGAGCCAGGCTTCACACAGGAGTGAGGGCGTTTACAGGCCNCCTGACAACCGAACGATCAATTCCCGCCGACCGTACACCGCGCACGACGTCCATGCGCACAGGTCTAGTCATCCCTGCACATCTTGGGTAGGGGAAACTTCTTCGAGGACATGAGCCAGGCTTCACACATGAGTGAGGGCGTTATACAGGCTAGCTTCCACAAGTTCACGAAGCTGTTCGCCCAGGAGTTTTATCACGACCACGTGTGTATGCCCACTGGCGAGGACCAGGACAAGGTGACCTACACTTCATGAAATGTCTGCCGCACTTTTTTTCTTCGTGCGACCACACTTGCTTTCCGCTGTATCCGTTGAAGACCATTCCGCCTGTATTTCCTTGCGCGACCGGCCCGGTGGTCTAGTGGTATCCTCGTAAACCGCTAGTCGCAGACATCGTGCTAGACGCGGAGATCTTGACTTCGAATCCCGATGGGGAGAAAAAAAATTAGTTTGCGGGTGAAAGGGTTATACAAAAGCTCTCGTGAGTGCCAACTTCGACGTTAGTACAGTTGACGAGAAAAGGGACGGCTGGTCCTTCTCGCGATAGAAATAAAATTCAGCACGCAACGCGGGAGGAAGGTCGGGCATCTTGACAAAATACATGGAAGAAATAAGCCCTGGTGTTTTCCTCCTCTGGTGTGACCCTGGATGGTTGTAGTTGTACGAAAGAACACACTGAAAAGTGTAGTACTCTACCTACATGCGCTGAAAAGTGCAGTACACGTCTCACCACGAAGAATGGAGTGACTATCGCCAAAATAAATAGGACGAAAACAGAAACAAAAATAAACATGTTTTCTGTGTATTCTCTTGACAGGTGCCGGTCAATATTGATTTGTCCATCCTGTCTACACTTAAAAAGCTTGCGTATGTATGCGTCCCGCGTGTTCGGTCAGAGCGTGTTTGATTGAAAGGCACAGTGTGCGTGATTGAAAACACAAACCCCTAGCAAACAATAAGAATGGTGTCAAACGATGAGCTCGCACGGCCGAGCACGTTGGTCGCAATGCGTGATGTTCTCATGTTGGTTTAGCTGCACGCAAGCTTTGCTTGCAACGACGAAGTTGTTACTGCTTTGTTTGGTGCCCCACAAAACACACGACGTCTTCCCGGATCGATATAAACATTATCAGGTGATGGAGGCGTATGATCTCCTGGGGTTCACGGGAGCGATAGGGTCAACCGACGTCACCCATATCCGGTGGGCGTGCTGCCCCTATTCTTGGGCAAGGCAGTACACGGGGAAGGAAGGGTTCCCGAGTATCGCGTACCAGGCGATCGTAGATCACACCGGACGCGTCCTTGCCG